TCCGAAGATCCTGTTAATACTTCAGCTTCAATTATGTTAGGTCGCAATCTTTTGATAATAAATCTAGTACCATTACAAAGACCCCATTTACTATTAAGATTTCTCAGTAGCACGATGATTGCGTCTACTTTCAATTTTAACTTATGACCCGGCATTCCCAAAGGAATAATACTATTAAGAAATTCGATGGGAAAATTTTCCTTTTCGGTATCATCCATTGAATCGATGGAATCATCACTCAAATAGGTGTGAAAATCTCCATTGAGTATATCCAAAATTTCATTTAATTTATGAACACGCTCATTTTTAGGACAAAGAATCACATGCTTAGATATATTTTTATTTTCTATAGATATACTATTTCCAAAGGTAGCTTCAATAATAGATCAGTTACAAATCACTTCACAGGGGATTTCAATAATATCCATTCCAAGAACTTGTATGTGTCGTGCATGCGCGAGTCATCGTTCGTTTTTAAACGAGTGTCCAGGTGCACAAATTCATGCACTGAGAGGAAATTAATTAGAAGAAATACTTTAATATCACTATTTGCCCTTTCTTTGTAGTAGGAGTGTCAACCAGATTCACGATCGACAATGACAGATCGAAACCCATGTGTACGATTGGTGCCAGCGAGAGTTTTATTCTATATAATAAAAGCCTAATATGCTAAGTGTCGGGTCGACAGGTCAGCCATTCAACCAACCAAAGCGTAATATGCTAATGATATATGCTAAGGCTGCTCAACTGCTTGCTATGACGTGCACTGACCACCAGGGGGGCAGTTGACCAGTAGGTTAGCTTGCTGCTGGGGTCCAGCTGATTGGGACTGCATGGGACAGGCCCTGGAGCCCTCCCGCATCCCTCCCCAGCCCTGATCGTGCACCAGTGGGGTCCCTTGAACGAATTCATGGACCAGGCCTCTAATATATACAAACTTGCTTAATTAGACCTGCTTTCTGATGTAGCTAAATTTTTTCCAGCCCAGTGAAGCACCCCAACTTCTCTTCCAGGTAATTGTCAGGAACACAGCAGGAAATATCAACACGAAGCAGGTTATTATTGTAGATCACACAGGGAGAACGAAGGGTAAAATATTTAACGGCAGCCGTGTCGGACTGTATTCTGAGCAGTGAGAAAACCTGAAGTCATTGTCAAGGTCCACCATTCTTTTCAGTCGGGTCAAGTTTCTAAACTTTCTAAATCTCCATTTTCTGGCTAATGAAAAGAAAATAGGATTCAACTGAGTCTCCTATCTGCCTACTCCAGGACTTCTGTGAGGCACGGGAGAACGCTTCACAAACATTTGGTTAAATTGTAAAATGTCTGCACCTGGCCATAAAGCAAGTCATGTTCCTGAGCTGAAGAAACTGCAAGGAGGCTAGTCGCTAGAGAGAGGAAGCTGGGCGTTGCTATGTGATGTCATTACCCGGCACCCACAGCGACCCATTCCAGGCTAGGCTGGACTATGGGCAGCATTTTGCGCCATGGGGTCTTGGCAGCACTGTGATTCGGTGGGGTGTTGCCCCGGGGTGTGGTGGGGCCTGTGTCCTACTTGGGGGAAGCTGAGTGTTGATTTGTTGGCATCAACTCCTTGGTGCTATTTATTATATTTAAATGGCCAGTGTGAGTCATGGCAGCTCCTGCGTTGAGCATCTGCCCCCTGGTGGTCAGTGTGCAGCAGAGCAACCAGTCGGACAGACACTTAGCCTTTTATATAGAGAGAGACTAGAGGCCCAGTGCATGGATTTGTGCACCGGTGGAGTCCCTTGGCCTGGCCTGCAGACATCCCCCAAAGGGTTCTGGATTGCAAGAGGGCACAGGCTAGGCCAAGGGACTCCACTGGTGCACGATTGGGGCTGGAAGGGACTGCAGAAGGGTTCCAGGGTGTGTCCGGCTCATCTCACCTACTCCCAATCAACCAGACCCCAGCAGGAAGCTAACCTACCGGTCAGAGCGTCTGCCCCCTGGTCATCAGTGTGTGTCATAGTGACTGGTTGAACCAATGGTTGAACACTTAGCATATTAGGCTTTTAGTATATAGGACTAGAGGCCCAGTGCACAAAATCTGTACACTGTGTGGGACCAGGGGTCCTTCAGCCCAGCCTGCACCTCTCACAGTCCAGGACCCCTTGCTTCTTACCGCCCGCCTGCTAGCTGCTTACAGCTTGGCCGGCTGCTCTTTGGTGCTGTGGTGGGAGAGGTTCCTGCATCATTGTTGCGCTCTCCAGCCATGAGCCCAGCTTCTGGCTGAGCGGTGCTCTCCCTGTGGCAGCTCCTGCATCGAGTGTCTGGCCCCTGGTGGTCAGTGCGTATCATAGTGACTGGTCGATTTGCCGTTTGGTCGATTGGGTATTAGGGTTTAATTATATAGGATAGGAAAGTAAACAGGTATTCACCTACACTAAGTCCTTTATGACTGACTGTCAAATACATCTTGAGGTAATCCTCATGAGAAAAAAATGGGCGTCACGAACTTCACAGTGCCAGCAACACTGAGGAACCTATAAAACTATCTTTTCAAAGGAGAGTCCATCACAAGTATTTCAGCAGCACACTTCTATCCACTTGGTCCTGGCAACTAATATAGCGGCCATTTCTCCCCTACAAAATAGCCAACAAAATACCCATTTCCTATTAACATCTCTTAAAAGTGCTTACCTAGTTGCTTGCAGGTCTTTTCTGAACAATGCTTCCCCAAGTCAGGGAACTCCATGGGGAGAAAGTGTCCCGAACACCGAGGGCAGAGTGTAGCAGCACCTACGAGAACTAGAGCCGTCAGGAGGAGCGCAAAGGCGGCTGGGGCTGGCCACCGGGATTCGTAACTTGCAGCTAAAGAGAGCGGGCAGCTATGCTCTGTAGGGACCGTTACTAAATGTCCCCGTCAGCCGGGGCCCTTTGGGGACGAAAGCTTCACAAATTCTTTTCTTTCAACAAAGAGAAAAATGGGGAGTGAGGGGGGGACACAAGTACCAGCTCATTTGGAATCAAGCCCATTGAGATGCGGTTTTTCAGTCCTTTCCCTTCCTGCCTTGTGGAGCTCACCCCAATTCAGGATTTCAGCGAAACCAAAGTTTGACTGGTGTGGACAGGGCTTCCCATTTTCAATCTAGCGGCTGCCAGTGGAAGTTGCAGCCCCGGTGGCGCTTAGGGCATAATTAATTCCTTCCACTGGATACACTTGTGGACATAAACAAACCTCTGTTACCAGGTGCTAAGTCACAAGGTGACGACTTCCCCTCGCTGCTCTCCGACACCCCCTTATGCATCGGGTTTTACTTAGAACTTGTTCCTTAACGACAATCTGGGGCTCCTCAGGGAGGCGGCAAGCTGTTGACTCACCGTGGAAAACGGAGACAACTGGAGAAGCCACTGCGCCTCCCCAGGCGCCCTCGGGACCGGTCTCCGCCTGGTCTGAGAACTCTCGTCCCTCCCAGAGCTCCAACCCTGACGGCCTTCGGGACCGTCCCTCCCGCGCCCTCCGCTCCCGGGAGCGTCTCCTCTGCTGCCCCCTCGCGTCGGTGCAGGGTCGCTCCCTCCAAAGAGCC